TTAGGGAATTGGTTAACATTGTTCTTTCAGCAATTAGTCTGTTGTGTTACTCTAATTTGTGTTCATTATTTGTTAACTTGTGTTAAAGCGTTCAGCAGAAGTAACCATAAGTGAGAGTGGTAGGCCTAGTCATTAATAAGACCTGTGAGTTTCATTTTGTCTGTGTTGTTCATGAAGAAGAATCCAATAAAGGTTCATCATAACTGCCACCTGGTGGTGAAGTCTTGAACTACAACATGAGCTACAACTCTCTGTAACTGTCTGTGTGCACTTACTTTTGTTAAGTAAATTTAAATACTATGAATTCAAGTGATATTTACTCTCATCATATCTAGTAAAAGTTATTAAGAATATAGTTACAGATTTGTGAACGAATCAGGTAAATTTTACTTAATTTGATCAAGTATATGTTACAAGATTTAATTGAGCAAATTAAGTAAAATTTACCTGATTTATTCACAAATCTTTAACTATATTCTTAGTAACTTTTATTAGATCATGGGTTCTCAAACTTTTTGGGTCTGGGGACCCCAACAAGGGCAAAACAATTCCAGGGACCCCCTCATAAACCTTTTTTTAAGGGGTAAATGGTCATTTCAACTCCTAAATGCCATCAGAATATATTTTTATTTAGATCATTATGTTTGTTTTTTCAGTTCATTGTTCCCTATGCATCTTTAAAAAATAAAATCCAAATTAACAATTTAGTAAATTTTTTTGAGGACCCCCAAGATGCCTCTCGCGGAACCCTGGGGGTCCTGGGACCCCAGTTTGAGAACCTCTGTACTAGATAATGATGAGAGTAAATATCACATGAATTTGTAGCATTTAAATTTACTGAACAAACAGTGCAAATTTGTTAGAGTATTTTTTCTAGTAAATCTAACAAGTTATTTTTTTCAGTGCAGGTGTGGAAATAGCAAGAGGTGGTGATGAAATCTTTGCAGAAATAGTTAATTCATCACAATTTAAGTTAACAACCTGATTTCAGACTTGGAGCTGGACAGGTGTCTCTGTGAAACTGTAGGACCTGCAGYGGGGGTCTGCAGGTTGTGTGTCCGGGGCACCGGGCGGTTCTTCGCAGCTGCTCGGACCTCTTGTTAAAAACGGTTCAAACTTTCAGACTGCATTCACACTAYGATCAGCTCAGGTGTGAGTTCAGTGCACAATCACAATGTTTCCCCTCAAATCAGTGGTTCCTACAGTCCAGGTCCTGACCCAGCTGTGGGTCATGAAGCATCAAGTTGTGTGAATATAATTTCTGTAGCAAAAAAGACAAGAAAGAAGCACGAATCAGCAGTTTTGTTGCTCCGTTTCTCACTTCATTAGTTCAGCGTCCCACATGGACAGTCYGCGCTTTCTTAGAAATCCACCAGAAAAGTCAACATTTTAACGTTTGCATCATGTTGCTGAGGGGGAAAACAAAGTGCMGCTTTACCATTAAACAAACTTTAACATTTTAGTAAGTAAAACCGTCTTTAATTATTAGTTTTACTCAAAGAATTTATTGAAATTCAAAAAGCTTTAATATTTCCAAACTGTGTGCTTTTTAATTTTCTACAAATAAAGTAAGGACTCACACAGGCCTTCACAATTCTTTTATTTTCATTTAGATATGTTTTCTAGTGTAACAGTTCAGACTGTTTCTTTGTGCTTAAAATGTAATTATACTGATAAATGTCAAAAATCTTTAGTTCATTAACAGAATCCAAAAAACCATTCGATCTTGAAGTATTTTTTTTGTAAGATCAAAAAAAGAGTAAAAATGTCTCATTTAATTGTAAAGGTTTAATTACTCCTAACCTGTGGAAATCAAACACAAGTCCAAAGATGTAAAATCTCCAACATTATCMAAATGTTTTAATGAACCTGTTGAAATGAATTTAATACTGATACATTCATGTTACAGGGATTTTTCAGATGATAGGAATGCTCCTTAACAGTTCAGGATTTATTTAATAAAAAAACTCTTACTTTTCTAGTTTAATTCAACTTTTTAATCTTCAGATCACTTTGTAGAAC